ACATTTTGTGTCATGTTCCAGTTGTTGTCAGTCCCTGTCTAGTCAGTGTGCACTGGACAAGTCTTGCATATGAATGCCTGTTTACATTTGAGCATTTCTTTCTTCCAGTCAGTGGCAATGGAAGATGCAATGCTGCAGTGCCTGGCAGTTCTCCTGGGCTGCGTCAACTACTTAGACTCCTTTCTAAAGGTCTCCATGCCATACTCAGGCAGTACACAACTATCTCAATCTGAGTGATGAACCTCCTCCAGTTATGTGCTTCACTTTACCATAAACAGATGAGTGTGCAGTGTTTAACTAAGTTAGTATTTAATAAGAGGTGCTAGCCCTAAAACATAACCAAAGACAAGAGTTTATAATTTGATTCTTTATCTCATCCTTACTGCCTAGATGAGGAGTGTGCCTTGAATTGCAACCTGGGCAGGGTACTAGTTAGTTATTTTTGTCTTTTGCTTATCTGAAACGTCAATATTTTAAGTTAATTGCCTGTTTTGGTCATGATGTTCAGAATTTTTAAAAAGAAAACACTTTTATGTTAAGTATTCCTACACAGCACTGTAATTCGTGATTCCAGGTATGAGAGAGATGGCAATACATTCCCTTTATCAAATCCCCCATAGCTATAATATGGGGTGAAAGGAGGAACCGTCTCTGTCAAGGACAAAGCAGGAGCTTTGGGAGCTGGGGAATGGGGTAGGAGAGTATTGCTGTGGGAAAGCCTCAGTGAGCACAGAACTGTAGGGTTCTTTCCTCTGGGATCAAATGCTCTGGTTTGTCTCAAGGGGAGATGATCTGATGGAAACATTGTATTGTAATCCCTGAAGTATCCTAAGTTCTGTTGTCTTTCTGTCTAAAGGCAAAATTTGGGCTTAAAAAACTACGTTTCTAACATTAAGGTTTTCATAGCAATACGACTTGTCTGTATAGAGTGAATATTACTCTGCTGTATGAAACTCATATTTTAATTCATATTCAATATTATGTGGGTACCTAAATGTGGCTATCGTAACATCTCAAAATTATACTTGTTAGTCTGTTTGTGAATTAAGTGGAAAGGTAACAGTTTCTCTCTGCTTTTAAGGTAAGACATGCTTTGTCCTGCACACCAGAAACAAGCAAAGCATTGTTATGTCTTTGGAGTTACAATATACGATTTGTAAATGTACAGCTTTTCAGTTGCTTGTGTCTGTAAAAGATGAGTGTAGGACTGTGCTGAATATTCAGCTGGCAAACGTTTCATTCTGTTGACTGTTGAAGTGTTACTATAATTTTGTTCAACTGGTGTCCTATAACACTGTGGGAGATGCTGATTCTTTCTCCCCCATCCTCCCGCTGGTACTTGGCAAAGCAACAGAGAATGTATCTGTTGCATGAGATACCGATCAAATCTTTATTTCCTCGTAGCTAATGCAAAGAAGGATATATATTGCATTTTTTTAGCTCCAAAAATATTCCATCCAGTGCTAGGAGTATAAGCTAGGTTAGATTTTCTTAACTGTTACAGGTATGTCACAGAAAAATCTCTTCACAAAATACTGAACTAGCACATTGGCTTAGCTGGGAGAGAATAGTGTGTCAAAATGTCTGTGGAAACCTTAAATATTTATTAAAATGTCCCTTGAGATCCTAACTTAGCTGAGCATATAGATAAAATGACAAAATAAGCAAACAAAATAATTTAATTATTTGGACCAGAGTTGGCAGCAGCGCTTAACTGCTGTGATGCAGCAGTTAATGGTCCTACTATATGTACTCGGTATGAGAAACTACTTGCTCCAGACAGACATGGAGGCACGGCTCATAGCTACAGCTTCCCCAGTTTTCTATTTGGCAGTAAAAGTGGCATATATCATTCGTTTAGTGGCGAGATAAACTTACATGTCTAAACTATAATTAAAATACAAAGTTTGGGCTAGCCTTGTAGTTGGACATCTAGTGGAAGTAAATAGTGTTTGGTGCACAGATGTCTTGCAAGCTATAACTTGTTTTTATGTATTTGAGTTCAGGAAGTTTTTCTGAAGGGGGGAAAATACCAATATTCTGAATTAGAGGTAGATTTTTCCTGATTCTGCCTATAGAGATGAACTGAATCATTCTTTCTAGTTTACAAATTTCTTGTTAAAAAGTAAACTAAGCTCAGATGTTTGCATCTGGGTTGTCTCACTTAAAGCTTTTGAGATTTATTGGGGTTTTTTGTTTAACTATGATAGCATTCATACTCTTCAAGAATTTTAGTTCCTCTTTCTTTGCCTAGTGAATATTTCTGTTTAACTGCTCAAACACCAAAGTTTGGGATAAAGATGCAAGAGGGAAGAAAAAACAAACCTGGAAAGCACTGTTGTCTAAATAGCTTAAAATTTTGCAAGTAACAACAGGTTATCTTCAGTGTTGCCTTATTAGAAATGCATGACTATCCCAGATTTCTCTGTTCAGTAGCAAGAGGAGTTCTCATCGGCCAGGACTCAGAATCTTGAGCTTCTTGGCATACAAAGTTAAGTGACAGGAGGGCACATGAATGTGAAGGAAAGCTAGAGCAAGTAGAACAACAAAGGATTTCTAAATAGAAGCCTGTGCTAAAGCTGAACTAAACGTAGGAGTCAGAAACCTGTGCTTTGGATAGCAGCCTGTTTACCCAGAAAAGAGAAACAGCTTGTTAAAAATCACGAATGCTAGTCAAGATATTTGATATTTCACATAAGTAGTATTTTGAGCTTCAAGAGCTTTGTAGATACTTAGTTTTACGGATTACTGCAATCTACAGAAATTCCTAATAGTGTTGGCCAGGTGGAAAACTGCTTTCAACTGTGCCATTTTCTAATCTATGTCCTTTCAGATGAATGCTTGTAAATCACTCTACTGCTAATGTTCTTATGGTTGTATATTTGTCCTTTGCACTTGTACATATTTTTTGATACAAATAAGGGTTCAGGTGATCATGTAAAGAAGATGGGGACTGTGATGCCCCCAGAGAAGTTAATTTGAAGCAAGGGTCAAATCCTTTGTACCTCAATATATTGCAAGTGTAACAACATTAAAGAAGCTGAATTAATAACATGCAGTTATAGAAAATGACTGTTCACTCTAGTTAGCACTTCAGAAATTTATAGTCTGGTCAGAGGCTACCTCTAGCTCCAGGTGCAGTTGACTATCTGTGTGTTCACTGCAATCTCCCGATCCCTTTATTTTCTTACTGTTCTTTATGGGCCAACTACTAAAACCCCATTATGTTCAATATTGCTAATGTATTTCCTTTTTAGTAGCCCTTTTTCTTAGTCCGCAATAAGGCTATGCATGAATGTTTATAACCATGGGCATTCAGGGTTTAAAAATTTTCCCAAAGGCAATACCCTGCCTGAATAATTCTGGTGATTTTGCAAGAGTAGTTTATTTTACTTTCTGTAATATCCGTTCTAGATCCTAACTATCTACTAAGCTTTAATGTGACTATGGAAAATAATGATGATCATAAAATATGGTATTGCCCAAATTATCTCTATTTCAGTGAGTTTCATGGCCTTAGCAGAGTTTTAATTAAAACTTGTATAGGAACTGATTATCTCTTTAATGATGTCAAATTCAGTTTTCATTGAATTTAAAATTGAGGATCATTAATGAAATGAGACTGAGACGTATGACGTGCAGTCCATCTTAACTTTGTTTAAACTTTCATCCGTATATCAGAAGTGTTTTTAATACCTTGCGAAGGTCATGTGCTACTCATCTTTGTAATGTAGTTATTTTGACATCTTGAAATTTGATGTTGCACAGTGTGCAGTCGTTCAGCACTAATGTATTTATTACTTTCACTAACTAAAATTTTTAGACACAGTGCAAGTACAGTCTGTAAATAAACAAGTATTAACTTTCAGCTTTTATGAAACTATAGCTAAGAAGTTACTAATAATGTTGTGAAATTAACTTACTGAAACTTTTCCCATTTTGGCCCTTTGAATCACTTGATATTTAGTTGTTTGGTTTTTTGGGGTTTTTTTCTTTTTTACTCTTAAGCAATTTTCTACATTTCGGTCAGTGCATGAGGATAGTTACAGGAAGTCTTCATCTGGCTAATTTGTAGATTGTGAATTTCTGAAATGCTATCCAAATACTTTCAAGATAAACTGTTTCAATCCCTGAATGAATTAAGATAAAGCTTTTAAGGATACAAGAACTAAACACACCTGCGTGATGTAAGTCATAACATATTTCATTAAAGTAGACATTATTAAGATACAGATTTAGAAAAAATTTCCTGCTACAAACTTTTTCTGCATATTTTTGTCTGCACTATATTTTCATTAAAACATACCAATTTTTTAAAGTGAACTATTTTCAATGAAAAATTTCGGTTGTCCTAGG